TGCGGTTAACTGCCATCTTGGCTGGCAGTTAATTTGCATATCGCCCTGATTAGCCAATGGGAAGGGTAGCGGTCGTACGCTAATTACCATGTTTCTCTTTTATTAGATAGGATTATAGAAATATATAGTATATGTAAATGTAATATATTATAGATGAAACTGAGGCTTGGGGACATTAAGTAATTTCCTCCAGGTCATAAAACTTACAAAATTTGGAACCAACCAGGACTCAAGTCAAAACATCTTATGCCTTTAAACTCTATGCTAAATTATAACTTCTGACTTTCTATTGATAGCACTCTAATAAGGTATTTTGGTCACAATAAGTACAGAGATGTGATAAATAAGAACTACACATATTTTTAGAGACATGAGACATTTGATGATAAATTACTCCACATCAAAGCATCAAAGCTGTTCTGGTCAAGATGGCGGCATAGAGTCAACAGTTTGGATATTCCAGTAGGATAACAACAAAAACAAAACACCAGAATGAAATAAAAACCTATTCTGAAATTTCAAAAAAAAAGAATCAAAGCAAAGACTCCCACAATCCTGACTACATTTGTGCGCAGGCACACACCTCTGATGTCCATTGGGAGTGAATGGCTCTACCTCTGGTTCATTGGGAGTGAATGGCTCTACCCCTGGTTCATTGGGAGTGAATGGCTCTACCCCTGGTTCATTGAGAAAATGATGGCCTATGAAACAATACTTCACAATCCTCTGAAGATGACTTCTTTACTTAAGACGACTTCCTGTGAATTACAGAGGTCAACTGAGGCACAACAGCTTTGAAGAGGTGCCTGTTTTTTTTCAGCAACAATCAAGGAAAGTTCCAGAACAAAGGAACAGTGCTGCCCCCTACAGGCACTGCCACGGCTTTGCTGTGGATGTGTAGAACACTTAGGGAGCCCATAAGACTTCACTATCCTCATCACTCCTTTTAAAGGAGGGAGACAGAGACCAGCACCCGCAACTATGAAAATACCTTTGTTCCCTCCTGGTAGCAAATCCCTGCTTTGAATGTTCATTTCAAAGAGTGAATGGCACTATGTTAAAGCTTTGATATTTTCCCTCTTTATTTGGGAATTCATTTATTTATGTATTCATTTATTTTTAAAATGGAGATATTATACTCTAGTAGGGACAGAAAATAGACAAAGTAAGTAAAAGGTATAGTGCCATGGTCGGCAAACTGCGGCTCGCGAGCCACATGCGGCTCTTTGGCCCCGTGAGTGTGGCTCTTCCTAAACCTTAGGAGTCCCCTAATGAAGTGAATAACAATGTACCTACCTATACAGTTTAAGTTTAAAAAATGTGGCTCTTCAAAGAAATTTCAATCATTGTACTGTTGATATTTGGCTCTGGTGACTAATGAGTTTGCCGACCACTGGCCTAGAGTGTATTACAGAATGATAACTGCCAGGGAGGGAACACAACGCCAGGAAGGGGCAATGAGTGTGAGCAGAAAACAGGGAGGCACAGCTTCAGAGAGAGTGGCCAGGAAAGACCCCGCAGAGAAGGCCATGTCTGAGCAGGAGTGAAAGGAAGCGAGGGCTTTTTGTTTGTTTGTCTTCACATGTATGAATCTGCATCAGAGGATAATGAAAACCAACAGGAGCTCAGGAGGGGCTCGGGGAGCATGATCTGAGAGTGACTGGAGAGAGAAGAAAGTCTAGGCAAAGTGGGCAGGCTGCAGTCATATTTGGTGAATTGAATAAAATTCTTCCAGGTCCAGAGTATTTGGAAGTTCCTTCTTTTTCTTCCTTTCCTTCCTTTCCTTCCTTCCTTTCCTTCCTCCCTCCCCTCCCCTCCCCTTCCTTCCTTCCTTCCTTCCTTCCTTCCTTCCTTCCTTACATTCCTTACATCCTTCCTTCCTTCCTTCCTTCCTTCCTTCCCTTCCTTCCTTCCTTCCTTTCTCTCTCTCTCTCTCTCTCTCTCTCTCTGTCTCACACTATCACCTTCGATCTCTCCAAGATACTCTCTTCTTCTTCTTCTTCTTTCTTCCTTTCTTTCTTCTTCTTCTTTCTTTTCTTCCCTCTTTCCTTTCTTTCTTTCTTTCCTTTCTTTCTTTTTCTTTCCTTTCTGGTACAACTGGACTAAGCACATGTCAGTTAGGAGTTAGGGATTCAGGCCCTGGTTGGACCCTTCACTCCCACCCTTAACGCATCATGAGGTACAAGATCAGTGGGTTGCTTCCCCCCACAAGTGGGAAGTTCCAGACGACTCAGTGACTTTAAGTGGGAAGATTAGGTATCTCAAGGAGCCAATTGCTATTTGAAGTGTCAAAATGGAATTACATACCTGCTTTTTAAAGCATTTAAAAATATGAGCTCCAATGGGCTACTGATCTCTATTCAGCATGGGTTGGCTACCTCTTTCTAGAAAAAGCCAGGTACTAAATATTTCAGGCTTTATAGGCCCGTGGTTTCTGTCAAAACTACTCAACTTTGCCTCTGTGGCATGAGAGCAGCCATAGACAATTCATCAATGAGTGTGGCAATGTTCCGATGAAACTTCACTTACAAAAACAGGCGGAAAGCTGAATTGGGCCAGTGGGCTATAGTTGGCCAACCTCTGAATCATAGCTTATGACTGAAATAAACTAAGCCCCAGAAAAGACATTTTATTTGTATTGACTATGTCCACCTGGTTAATTAACTCAAACAAAATTTCATAAGCACCTAATCCAGTCCTAGGCTTGGAATGATCAAAATG